CCCCAAAAAATTACACCTAAATATGTTTTTTTTAGCATTTAAACACAAAATGAACTGGATAAAACAAGAAGAGCATATACTGTACTAAAGACATCTAATTACATTTATCAAAACAGTAATTTGTAAAGTATGAAAATTCAAACAATGTGTAAACTTAAAAAAAACAATGTGTCCTGTCCTGATCGTCTGCTCCTTCCGTGTGCCACGCCCCCTCGTTAACCCCCTGTGGAATCCCCTTGTGATAAGCTGTTTCTGGTTGTTGTCATGAGCCCTCTGTATTTCGTCCGCGTTTCAGTTTGTTTCCCCAGTCCGGTCATTGTATTGTCCGTCTGCGTTTTGCCTGCCTTACCTGTAATTAAACCCCGTATTCCCCGATACCCTGACGTCTGCGCCTTTATCTCCGTTCCGTCCCCGCTCGGCACGACAAAATTATTATAATCAAATGTATTAATGGTTTATTAATATTAAAATAATTATTAAGAAATCTTTATTTTAAAATGTATTTTATTGTATAATAATTACTGTTACTGTCTATCATTGTCTAAATGTATTTTTACTGTCTAAATATATATATTCAGTTTGTGTAAACATGCACGATGCTATCACAGCAAATGCGAGACTGAGACTGAAACGTTACCCTTTGTTTCCGCTGAGAGACGTGCCGGCATGACTCATTTCCCCGCGCGTACAAGTTATCTTAGGTCGACGTTCACGGTTTGACTTCTGAGATTCAGATCGAGTACTAGGTAATTTTTTTCCGAAGTGGTTGGTTCGCCTTTTAAGAAATTTGAGTTTTAATGAGTTCGAGAACTGAGGTACCACTGTATATGCATGTGTGTTTGAGTGAGTCTGGAAAAGAGAGCAATTAACCAGATTTAACCATTCAAAATATGAGTTCAGTCATCAGGCAAGATAAAGTCACCTGTTCTCCAAAAATCCTTGTTATTTTGTGGGGAAAGAATTGGTATTGTCGTGACCTGCTCGTACAATCCTCGTGTGTGCCACGCCCCCTCCTTAACCACATGTGCTGCCCCGTTTGTAATCGGCTGTTTCGAGTGATCTCTGATTAGTCCTGTGTATTTAAGTCCGCGTCTGAGTCCGTTTCCCTAGGTCTATCATTGAAGTCACATTGTGTAGTGTTGCCGTCCATTGCTTGTTCCATGTCCCTAGTCCCTTTGTTCATTAAATCTCGTATGCCCCAATCCTACATCTCTTTTTCCTGCTTCCCCCTCTCGCGCACCGCTACTGATCGTAACAGGTATACTCTAAGACCTTGGCCACATGGCACATGGACATGGGTATTTTTAAAAAGGGTGTTTTTCCTCCCGTGTTAAAAAAATCCCATCCACACAAACACCGTTTTTGAAAAAATCTTCATCCTCATGAAAATGCTAAAAATTTGCTGTCAATAGCAAAAACGCCTAATGTAAACTGCAAACGGCACACAGTCTGACATTACAAGCCAAAAACTCAGTTTTCTCTGTCTACACTTTGATGCTGAAAATGGAGTTTCTGAAAATCTTTACCCCAGATGGACTTTTGAAAAAGCTCCATCTTCAGTGACCTAAAATGGCCAAAACAGACAAAAGGCCAAGAAAAAGCTAAGTTTTAAAAAATACCTGTGTATGTGTGGACAAGGCCTAAGTGAAAGTAGAGATGGCAATTTCGGCACCCAGGATCGATCCGTTCCAAAGACGTCTGAAACTTCTGGTCTCAATACGGAGTTTACAAAATGTTTCGAAACATCAGTCACGTCACTGCCGTGTCATTGTTCATGGCAAGAGGAAAAAACTATTAAAAAACCCCCCGGAAAAAATCGGGGCTTGTTGGTTTGAGCGAGTAGTTTGGCAATCATTATTATTTGAAATCCAATTGTATTAGTGAAACAGGTTAGCAGTTAGTGTGATTTAGGCATAAATATAGTGAGGGACATACACTCACCTAAAGGATTATTAGGAACACCTGTTCAATTTCTCATTAATGCAATTATCTAATCAACCAATCACATGGCAGTTGCTTCA